CGAATTGTAGACCTCCTGTCAAAAGTGATCGATTTCTTGAGGCTACTAATAAATAAGACCGATCACTATTCGTAAAAATCCGTTAGTTGTAGGAACTATTCGAGGTGGTTAGTTTTTTCTTTTTGAAGAATGATGGAGCAATTTCTTTCAGAAGGTCAACTGAACGTGAATCTAGTGGTGTGCTAAAGGATTATCTGCAAATGCAAGACTGATTTAGACACATGCCGCAAACTTCTAACATGTTTTTTCTGCTTCTTTATAAATTTAAAGCAGAATAGCATTTTGTCTAGCTGATTGTGACAACCTGAAACAAAATACACACTGACTTCAGAAAGTGTTAAGAAAATATGAGCTGGAATATACTTTCTACTCGAAGGCATCACCTTTTCTGTCTGAATCACAAAGGCAGCCAAGCGTATGCCCGATAAATCTGTCGTAATCTTGCTTACATGTCTCATCCATAGGTTTATATAAAAGCGCGGAATGTTTCGTAGTTCTTCACCATGTCCGCAATTTTCCCTGCAGATTTTCAAATGACGACAAAATCCATCATTTGAATCAGTGAAAGTTCTGCATGTTCGACAGATATGTTTCACATTTCATCATTCTTCGAGCTTCGCCGAATTTTACACCACACTGTTTAAGCACTTGAAAGCATATTCCGAATCCTGCAATTCTTGAAAGCTTATGCTAGAGTACTTCGAATGGCTACCTATATATTATTGGAAGTTTAAAATTCACATATATATTTTACAAAAATTTGGTCTTCACATTCATCAAAGTCAAAAGATGATCGGCGACTTTGAGTACTTGCAGCAACGCGTGGCGCTTCGTGTGGACATCATGCAGCGCTATGTGGTAGGTGTGGCTGAGATAGTTTTGGCTCCTCGAGCTGCTGAGCTGCGTGTACTACGTCTGCATGCGCGACAATTAAAGGTAAAGAGTGTACGCATTGACGGCGTACAGGCGAATTTTGAGCAACTTAATTTCTTGGGCGAGATTGTTGATGAAAACTACCGGGATTTAGCGACGTTTGACTTATTTTATCGTGGCGCGATTGTTGCTTCTAAAGAGGGTGAACTTATTATTGAGATTCCACGGGAAATTACGTTTAAAGTGGACGAAGAGAATGCTGAGGATCCAAGCAACTTGAGTGATTCTCGGACTGACAATGAGGACAACGAGACAGATGTTGGTACTTCAAAACAACAGAAGGTTACACTTGATGCATGGGACCTTGACCGCTATCCCAAGAGCTCTACAGGCTATAAACCTGTAATTGTACGAGTCGAATATGACATTACCGAGCCCACGGGCGGTCTAAGATTCGTTCTACCAGACGACCAGTACCAGCCTAAAAGGAGCCCTCATATGTACACGTATTGTGGACCATTTGGTGGTCTTTGTGATGGAGCGCGCTCATGGATGCCATGTCGAGATACATTACGAGACGCTTGTACATTTCGGATTGAACTTACGGTACCCGATTGGTGTGTAGCTGTTTGTAGTGGACAAATGGTGCAACAAGTTTTAAATCCAGAGACAGATGCTGATGGGGGACAATGGAGAACTTTCAAGTATGTAGTTAATCCTAAGACTAATTGCTCGTCTATTGGCTTTGCGGCAGGACCTTTCCGACTCTATGTTCCTTCTGAAATGCCCCGAATGACCCATTTTGCACTCCCAGAATGTTTTGAAGATCTCGTACACTGTACATCTAAGTTATCGTCAGCCATGACGTACTTTGAAGGAGCGTTAGGAGTGCCATATCCATTTAAGACTTATCAGCAAGTGTTTGTCGAAGATTCCCCAGATCAATTGCAATATATTGCGGGAGGTGCCATTATGGATCAGAATTTATTACATGGCCCTCGCATTATTGACCGTGAATTGCCATCGCATTTGGCGCAAGTAAAAGCACTTGTAGGTAGTTGGATTGGCGGTGCAGTTGGAATTCAGAGTACAAAGGATGCATGGGTACTTATCGGCGTTGTTGGACATCTTGTTAACACATATGTTCGCTCTATATACGGTGAGGAAGAGTATGGATATCGTATTCAACTAGCGATGGATGCATTGACGACAATGGAATTGACTACGGATCAAAACTCCCCTGCGTTGCTGTCCTCAGAAGTTGATGTGTACTCAGAATACGACCCATTGTCTCTAACGCTTTTGGAAATAAAAGCCCCTCTTGTGCTGCATATGATCGAACAACGCGTAGGCCCTAAACATTTAAGTATTGCAATTCAACGAGCGGTGTCTGGTTTTGGATCTGGTACTAGTTCTGCAATTAGTGGTGGGGCTGATGCGGCTGCGAGTGGGGATGGAAACAAAGAGGACAGTTCTGGAAAGACAAACGAAGACAAAAGGAGCGCCGATGATGAGGGTGAAGCTGGTGGAGATAATACGACTGGCAGTGCATCAGGAAAAGGAGGAAATGGTGTGACTTCGTCGGAGCCTCTGACCACACTTTCGTTCTTGAAAACTGTAAAGACGATCGCGGGTGCTGCTGGTCAGGACCTCACCAAGTCGTTTCTTACGTCGTGGATTATAGAACCTGGAATGCCTTTTTTTACGGTCGGATACTGGTATAATCGTAAGCAGACACAGGCAGAAGTCGTAATGCAACAAGAGATTCCTCCTGGAGGAAAGCTCTATACAGGTCCAATTACCATAACTATAGTTGAAGACACAAGTGAGTACACTTACCAGAAGCGAATTGAGCACAAACGACACAAATTTGACTTTCCATGTCACTCGAAAGTTCGAAAGAAACGACGAAAACGACAGGGACTTGCTGATCCGGATGACTCTGTATCTGTTGGTGGACCAGGCATGGGTTTGAATGATACGCCAGTCTTTTGGGTGAAGATCGACACGGGATGTGCTTGGTTACGGCATGTCGTGATGCATCAGCCAGATTTTAATTGGATGGAGCAGCTGCTGTCAGACAAAAAGGTTGGATCGCGTGTACATGCTGCTCGTGCCTTAGCACTTTTTCATAGACCTCACGAAAAGCCTAATGTCATGTCTTGTCGAGTTCTTACTGAGTGTATGAGTGGATTAACAACGCACTCGAGACGACTGCGTGCCGAAGCAGCTCAGTCACTTGGAATTTGGCAATCCATTCACGCACCTCTCACAAATGCCAACACTTCGCTTCCTATTTGGAAAGCGATGCACAACCTGGTGCGTATATTTAAGGAGCACTTCTTTGACCGGGCAACCGATATGCCAATGCCTAATTACTTCTTACCCTCGGGTGGTAAAGTGATTTTAGAAGCGCTAGGTGCCCAACAGGCATCGGTCTCAAGTAAACAGATACAAGTTCAAGACTATGCTGCTGGTGAATACGAGATAAAAAAAAGTATTCCTAAGGCACTGGCAATGGTACGAGCTCAGAATGGCAAGTCACCACCCGAAATTGAGACTTTTTTATTACAGCTGCTGACAGAAAATGACAATTCAAAAAATTATGTGGAAATGGACGATCAATCGCAAGTAGCGGATGACTGCTACTATGTTGGCAATCTTGTCCTTTCCCTATCCGTACTGAGTTTTGATCGTCCTGCACGCTCAGAAGAAGGCGATGTGTTGGTTGTACGCGAGATCTTGCGTTACCTGCACTATGATCAAGTCCAACCCAGTTACAACAAGACGATCACAGTGTGCTGCCTCGAGGCTTTGTGCAACTTCGTGCTGGCTGGATGTTGTGAGGAAAAGATCGTCAACTTTTACTCTTTTTCGTCGCCAAAGCACTCAAACTTTGTTCGTAAAGCGGCAATCGAGAGTATTTTACGTCTGTATTTTGCTGAGGATCCTAACGGTCCGAGTGGTGAAGGCAACACTGGACTTGGCTACTCGATTAACTCAGGTGTACGGAGGAAGTCTAATCGACAAAAAACATCTTCTTTGCTTGCAACAAGTTATGGAGCCACAGCTGCAATGTTGTGGCTTTGTGAGTTTCTTAAAGCGGAACAATCTCCGGGAATCCGCTTGTTTGCGGTCCAGGTATGTCTTAATTGCATGCGTGGGTTTCCGCCAGGTGTGGGGAAAGAAGTGCTCGCGACATGGGATCACAGTTACACACTGGGATTGATGAATTATATTGAGATGAGAGAACCTACATCTTTTGTTCTCAAAAGTCCAGAAAAGGACAAATTTTTTGAGTTATTCGATCGCCCTAACTTGTCAAAACTTCGTGATGATAGCAGCTCTGCCAAAAGAATTACAGAAGAGTTGTGGAATCTGATGAACATGACTGCAGCGATGGACCAGAGATTGCGAGTAGCATTAATTGTTTTGTATCGAAAGGTGTGGGGTGAAACGACCCCAATTGCAGTGGCACACATTGTTCAGGACAAACCAGCGAATTGGGCAGGAGGCTACGAAAGCCTTCGACAGATGATGGAGGATAGCAAGAATCGAATGCAGATGAATGGTGGACGTACTGGCCCAACCGTCCCCGATGACGGGGACCGCAAACGAGGGTTTTCTTCGTCTGCTAGCAGCCCAGCTGATGCAGCTTTGGAACAATTTCGTGGTAAAAAGTTCAAATTTAAGATGGGTGATACTACTTTTCGATCTCACAAATTATAAGCGAGATAGATCCACGACAATCCAAAACTTTGTCTTTCAAGTGACAAATCGACGCAGATGCACTATTGGTTATTTGCTCGGACATTACTAAGTCGCAGTGCTTCTTGTGGTTGTATTTAATATGAGTGGCAAACGTATATTAGAAATAGTTGACATCACTGTTCATCCATATATCGGCTAATTATCTTTATCGTGAATCTCAAGCCGAGCCAACTTATTGCAAACATCCTGCTTTTCACTCTCCTCTCTTGTCTTCTGTAAGGCCTTCACAAAGCTTATTACTGTTGGTTCATCAATATTCATCAATGCAATTCGTTTCACTGTCGTCATCTTTCCTTTCTCCTTACAAAATCTTACAGTTTCTTTTACAATCTCTTGAGCTCCCAAATCTCTCGGGTATCCGAAAATACCCGTCGAGATTCCAGGGAGTGCTACAGAGTCCACTTTCAGCCGATGCGCTTCCATCAACGCACTCCACACAGCCTCGTGGAGCTTTGTTGTGTGTTCAAGTGTCAATTTACTGCCCCTCACATCGGGGCCAACCGTATGAATAATGTGATTACATGACAATTTGCCTGCTGCAGTCGTGACAGCTTTGCCAACATCAAGCTCTCCGTGATCTTTAACCCTTTTGCTACTCTCTTGCTGAATCGAGATACCTCCTTTACGAACAATTGCTGCAGCAAGTCCCCCACCATGCATCAAATGACTATTAGCTGCGTTTACGATTGCGCCAGCTTTACAGCTCGTTAGATCTCCCTGAACTACCAGCAATTCGGGTCCACTTGCGCCAGTAGGATTCCATTGGCAGAAAATTTTCCCACCGAAATGGTCATCAGCTGAAGCCACATGAGGCATTCGTGGACTATTGCGATCTAATATGATGATATTTTTGCAATTCAAAATTCACTACTGTACATTACACAACTATAGTTTGAGTACACTATGATAATTAAATTAAACTTCACAATCACGAAAATGATGAAACTCCGAAAAGAAGGTCCCTGGTTAAACACATGAGTTACAAGCCGTTTGACACATCAGATGCTCTCGGCTTCAGTCCTGGTAGAAGCACACGACGTCAATTCTTGTGTGTATGCGTATATGAATTCCTTAAATGAATATTTTCAGTTTTGAATTTAAACCAAAGAATTTATTAGCCTTGGTCAAGGTG